TCGTTGCTCTACTTGCTCAGTCATTTTGAATGCAATGGCAACACAGTACACATGCTCATTCAACAGTGTCTACTACCTCCACTGACTACTACAGTGGTCGTCATTGTTCATGCATGTGCATTCCAGTCCACTCTCCTTGGCTGCCAGGTTACATCAATGTTGCCCAAACTGTTCTCATTATATTAACAATGGCTGGACTATTTTTGGACAGCCCTTCAAATATAAAAGTGCATTTTTTTTTGTATTTTAAACATACATCTTGTGACCATACTGCATGCATTTATTAAGTGTTATTGCATAGATTCTTAGCATTTCCACATATACAATTATTTCATCTATTAATAATCTGCTAATAAGTACAAGTTTAAGTGTCCCTGTCCAAACTGAATACCTTTTATTTAATTCTTTTTCTAAAAAAATTAGTTTGTTTATTTATTTATCACATACTAAAAGACCCTTGAATCACTTCCAAGTTTTGACAATTATAAATAAAGCTGCTATAAATTCCATGTGCAGGCATTTGAGTGACTATATAGTTTTAATTTATGTAAGTAAATACCAAGGCACATGATTGATGGAATGTATGCTAAGAGTATGATTAATTTTGTAAATCAATGTAACAGAACACAGACTTCAGAAACAAATCAACATATGTGGTAAATTTAACAAAAGTGAAAAGGCAACAATAAAGAAAGGATTGCCTTTTTTAAAAATAGTGCTTGAACATTAGCTATCCACATGCAAAATAATGAACCTCAATCCATGCTTCACACTCCATGCAAAAAATAAAACTCAAAATGGATCACAGAACTAAATGCAGAACTAAAACTATAAAACTTCTAAAAGAAGACAGGAGAACATTTTTGTAATTTACAATTATGCAAATGTATCTTGGAATACAGAAAACATGTATAAAATAACGTATTAAGTAAAATGTCATCAAAATTAATGATTTATCTTTTTTGAAAGATACTATTAAGGAAATGGAGCCCTGGCTGTTGTGGCTCAGTGAACTGGGCACCATCCTGTGAACCAAAGAGTTGCTGGTTCAGTTCCCAGTCAGGGCACATGCCTGGGTTGTGGGCCAGGTCCCCAGTAGGGGATGTGCGAGAGGCAAACACATATTGATGTTTCCCTCTCATTGTACTTCCCTTTCTTCTCTACAAAAATAAATAAAATCTTAAAAGCAAAAAAGAAAATGGAAAGAAAATCATAGAATGAGACATGTCTTCAAATCACATATCACATTGAGGGCCTGTATCCAGAATAAAGGAGTTTTTGTGAAAACTCAATAATTGGAGAAGAAACAATGCAATAAAAAGGCTGAAATATTTGAACATACATTTCTTCAAAGAAGATGTACATATGGCAAATAAGTACTTGAAAATATGCTTTACACAACTAATTATTATGGAAATGTAAATTAAACTACAGTGATGTACGATTAACCATCTGTTAGAAAGCTAAAATTTCTCCCAATAGGGACTTGGGAGAAATTAGGCAATTTTTAAATAAAGTCAAACATGCTTAGCCTATGACTTGGCAATCTTAGTCTTAGATTTTCAGCCAAATGAAGTGTAATTTAGTTTTCACTTCTTATGAAATATATGAAATTATGATAGCTTTATTTGTAATCACCAAAACCTGAAAAGAACCCAAATGTCCTTCAACCGGACAATGGATGAATTGATCTGGTATATCCATACAATGGAATGCTGCTAGTAATGAAAAGGAATGAGGTACTAATACAAGTACAACATGGATAAAACTGAAATATATTATGCTAAGTGAAACAACCCAGACTCTAAATGCTACATACAGTAGACTCCATTTGTAAGACATTTTAAGAAAAGCAAAATAGTAAGCACAGGAAACAAAAAGCTATCAGGGCTGGTGGGAGGGGTTGACTAAACAGTTGCATCAGGGTCTTTTTTGGGGGAAGTGATGGAACAATCCCACATCTTTATTGTGGTAGTTGCATGTTTATTAAAATTCACAGGAATGTAAACTAAAAGGAGTAAATTTTACTCTGTTAAGTTTTATCTTTAAAACATGAAAAATACAATGACAAAAATGATCTTAACTTTGCATATTGCTCTTGGATTCCATTAAATGTTTGGAAAACACAAATTTCTTAGAATTTCTAAAGAGTGCATTTAAAAAACTTTTTGCACATAAAAAACACATATTCAGCCTGGCTAGGACAGAGTCATTCAGAGATGCAGTAAAAATTCTTCAGAATCTTTCCTATCATGTACTACAAGGACACAAAATATAGTGTCTTAATGCTCATGTTCCTGACAGTTTTACTTACAATGTCAACTACTTGGATATAAATATTCAACAAGAATTCACTGGCTTACTGAAATAGAGTATACCACATATTAGCATATTGAACACTTATTCAACTAAATATTTATTTAATGTTCTTGATGACAGAGGAAAATATATGTTTTGTGACATTAAGTAACTGAAAAAGTAAGGCATAAAATAGTCATGCAGTTCATAATATATGAAAATATGCTTAGGTGACAAAACATTTTGCAATTATGAAGTATTTAGTTTAATGGGTATGATTAGTGGCAATTAAAATGCTCCTTGATATTTTGTATTTTTAAATAAGTAGACATTGATGAAATATTGGCTATAATTATTCAAATGCTAAACTAATGAGAAACAGAATTTTAAAATAATGTAATTCATGTTCAATCTTGAAACAGTTCTGAAGAACACAAAGATTTATAAATAGACTACCTAGTATTTAGGGGCTCAGGTATAGCTAAAATTAATGGACATTATGTTCTTGAACAGCTGAAAAATTTGAAATATACTGCATGTTAATAATAATGAAATGGCTAGATAAATTATGTTTTTTTTCATACACTTGTATATTTTATGGCCAGTTAAATTATGTTAAAATTATGTTAAAAACTTATGTTATAACTCTATGTGAATGTGTGGTTTTATATATGTAAGAATATAGATTTCTCATAGAATATGTATGTAATTATGTGAAGAATAATTTCAGATATGAAAAATATAATTAAAAACAAAAATGGTACATCACACTAACATAAGTAATAAATGTAATTTCTTTATAATTTTCATTGTCTCTATTATAAAGTGATAATTTCATAATTTTACAGTTTATAAAGAAAAGTACGTCAAACATTTTAAATGTTTAGTGCCTACTTCAGTGCCTACTCTTTCAGATAACATAATGGGTGCTAGGGAAGTAAAGTATATAGAATGCCAAACCTGTTCTCAAATGGGAAATGAAAAGTAAATAAAAAATTGCAGTTACATGTGAGGAATGCTTTTAAATTAATTAATTAATTAATTAATTCAGTTTTTAAAAGATTTTATTTATATTTATTTTTAGAGAGGGAAGGAAAGGAGAGAGAGAGAGAGAGAGAGACATCAATGTGCGGTTGCTGGGGGTCATGGCCTGCAACCCAGGCATGTACCCTGACTGGGAATCGAACCTGCGACACTTTGTTTCGCAGCCCGCGCTCAGTCCACTGAGCTACACCAGCCAGGGCTTATTTTATTTATTTTTTTAAAAAATATTTTAATTATTTATAGAGAGAGGGGAAAGGAGGGAGAAAGAGAGAGGGAAGGGGGGAGAGAGAGAGAGCGAGAGCGAGCGAGAGAGAGAAATGTGTGCTTGCCTCTTGTATGTCCCCAACTGAGGACCTGGCCTGCAAGCCAGACCTTGACTGGGAATTTAACTGGTGACCCTTTGGTTCTCAGGCTGGCATTCAGTTCATTGAGCCACACCAGCCAGGGCAGGAATGCTTTTTAAAAGAGTGCGCATCTCTGTATTAACACAGTGGAGAGGTGGTACAAATGCCTGCAGAGGTACATAGATTTAGCAAGGGATTATGTCTGGATTGATTTGCTAAATGAGAAACATCCATTCTAGAGGAATAGATGAAATATAGTTCAAAGTATTTATTTACCTGTGCACACATACACAGAAAATAGCAATCTATTATAAAATGTTAGTAGTAAATATCTTGATTTTGAAGACATGGGGGTTTGTACATATTTATTTCTCATAGACTGTCTAAGGTGAAATGAGTGAGGAGTTTCTAGAATGAGAGTCTGTTTCAGATGGTGCTGAAGTGTCATGTACCATGTAGACCAAGTGCTGACCATTGGATCCTGCAGTGTGAAGGCTACTGTGTGACATGCAGTCCATGGCATAGGAAAAGGACCTGACTGGTGTACGAACAAGAGAAATAGAGAAGTAATTGAAACCTGAATGTATAGGTGACTCTTTTAAGGCATTTTACTGTAACTGAGAAGGGGAAAGAAAGAAGACCAGGAATAGGAGGAAGAAGAAGAGGAGGAGGAAGTGGGAGAGGCAAGGAAGGAGCAGAAAGAGGGAGGAGTAGGTGGGCAGAGGAAAAGCTATAGGGGAATGTGGATGCCAGAGGTTTTTCTCTCTTCCTGTGCTCCTTACCTCGCTCCCAAACTCTCTACCACATCAAAGCATGAAATAAACCAGGAAAGAATAGTCTGGCAATAATCCATAGTTTTTATCTTTTCAAATACTTTCTAGAGGTATAGACTTGGAATGTTTTAAAAAGGTGAACTGGTTTATTTCTCAGACTCTAGGGAGAAAGCTCACTGTGGCACAAAGAAATTGATGGTATATTATTGATCAGAGATTTTAAAAGCATGGAGTAGCCAGAGAACCTATACATGACCCTTAGACATGAACAATGATGTGGGGATTACTGGAGGGAGTGGGGGATATTGGGTGGAGGGGGGGTGGGGGAAAAGTTGGGACAACTGTATAATCAAACAAAATCAACTGTATAATCAAGCATAATCAACAAAATATATATTTTTTAAAAAGCATGTCCCCAAGCTCCCCTATGGACTTGCTTCAGGAACATATATGCAGTGAGACATTTATCTAGTCTCAACTGTCCCTCGCCTGCTAGGGCTTCTAAAATTCATCTCATGTATGGCTAGAAATATTGAGAAAACTAGTCTGGTTCCCATTTCCAAAGACATATTTTTTTGGGAAATAAGACATGAGTTACCTGGGTCTGGATCTGTTTGGTCTTGATCCCATAAATGATGGGATTCATCATAGGAGGCACAAGAACACAGACATTGGCCAGCAGTACATGGATGTGGGGTGAGATGTGCCGTCCAAACCTGTGAGTGAGGCTTGAGAAGATCCCAGGCCCGTAAAAGAGAATAATGACACAGACATGGGAACCACATGTATTGAGAGCTTTGTGGCGAGCATCTTGGGAAGGGATGCGAAAGACAGCATGGAGAATAAGCACATATGAAATAAAAATTAGCACAACATCTAAAATCATTGTTGATATCAGGACAAACATTCCATACCAGGTGTTTATTCTTATGTCATCACAGGAATATTTGGCCAATGCAATGTGTTCACACATAGTGGTTGGAAGAATGTTAGTTCCACAAAAAGTCAGTCTTTTCAGAAGAAATATCACGGGGAATATTGTACAGTAACTTCTCAGAAAGATGACGGCACCAATTTTCCCAATCAGTGTATGTGTAAGAATGGTGGTGTACCTCAGTGGGTAGCATATGGCAATGTAGCGATCAAATGCCATCACCAGCAAGATCCCTGACTCACAAATGCAGGTGGAAGTGAGGAAGAATACCTGAGTGGTGCAGCGGTCCAGGGAGATCTCCCCCGCTCGGAACCAGAAAATGGCCAAGGCCTGAGGTACTGTGCACATGGAGAGGACAAGGTCTGTCCCAGCCAGCATGCAGAGGAAGAGGTACATGGGCTCATGGAGGCTGCGCTTGGTGACAATAATGAAGATGAGCAGACTGTTCCCAAGCAGGGCGATGACATAGGAAATGAAAAACGGGATGGAAATCCACCAGTAGTGGTCCTCTAGGCCAGGGATGCCCAGCAAATAGAAGACAGTGTGGCTAACACCAGTGTGGTTTAAGGAAGTCATGCCTGGAGCCTATGACCTAGGAACTCACTTTTTCTTTACAGACACAGTCAGAATTTCAGACTGTACTCAAACTTTATGGCTCCTATTAGATTCTTTTCCATAATGCATGTTCCAAGAACATCTAGGATGAAAAAATAAGGTTATTGTCTTTTTTTTTTCAGTGAGGTAACAGTAAAATAGTTATTTATACAGCCAACTAAAATAATATGGTAAGTAAACATATTAGTGGCACAAGCAAGCTATAATGGGAATCCAACAGAATGGCTAATTCACTTTATTTGGCTGTAGTGTATCTGGGGATGGAGGTGAAATAGGTGGAGAATGGAATGAAGTCATTGGCAGTTGAAAGAAAGACTGCTGTCATACAAACATTTAATGCATGTAAAACAGTTTGCAATCTTGTGTCATTGTGTGATTGCATCTATTATGCAATGGTAAAAGGAGAGAAACAAAAGTATATTGGCTCTGATTACAAATTAAAGAGCTTGGATGCTAGGATGAAATTGTCAACTACCATGAGTTTTAAATTGAAAAGCATTAGTTATCACCCTGCTTACTTAACATCAGACAGAAAGTCCCAATGTTCTTAAATATTTACCTTTGGCCTCATAGTCCTTTAGTGTAAATGGGATCCTCTCCTATTTACTCCCCAAGTGGTTACCTGACATCAATATGTAACTTACTCACAATCTTCAAATGCAGTCTTCATAGCCTAGAATGTAGCAAATCGAGGTCTCTGAGTGTTGGGCACCAGGGAGCAGAGATATTTATGTATTTGCCTGAAGACTCCAAGGGAAGCCAGTTCCACAGGGAACTCACAGTTACTTTTTACAAACAACCCTTCATCGTATACACGTGGGTGAAGATATTTTGGTTCTTCTTATCTGCCAACACTATCCCTTCCGCACAATTCCATCCCTGGATTGGGCTGCATATATATTACTTCCAATGAATAAACTTTTAGGGTTATTACACCATTATTTCTGTTTCTGTTTTCATGACAATTAGTAAATGATCCTGTTTATATTACCACATATAAATTGACTATAAAATATGTAGATTATTTTAAAAACACTTATTCATACAAGGTTTTCTCTGTGATTTTGACAAATTTAAAATGAAATTTGTTTCTTATTTTTTATATTATTTCATAATGCATTTATTTTTTTGCATTTAGGAACATAGTTTTATTTTTTAAAAATAATTGCACAAATTATATTTTAGCTTTACTCTGCACAGGGAATTTAGGATAACATTTTAAATCTTTTATTTCTCTTTTGAACTACTCAGAGTATTAAAACTATATAGCTATATTAGAGGACATTTTGTATCAGCTTATTTTTATTTTTTGACTCTGTTATATTGTTATGCAATATTATATTAGTTTCAGGTGTACCATCCAGTGATTATGTTACAGGGTGTAGCCAAGAGGGGGGACCCCAAATAGGCATTTAAAATGGGGTCCAGAACTCAAGGTGTCTAGGAGATTTTAGGATGTCTTCACCCCCCCACCCCCCAGGGTGTGGGTTGGGGGAAGGGACAGATGGAGCAGGGCCATTGAGAGCTGTTTGGCATAGCAACAGCCTTGCAGCTAAGCTCTGGTGTGGTCATTTAACATATCTATAGCCTTTGGCTGGTTGCCTAGATATGTTAAATAGCTGTGGCCATGCTCTGAGCCAGGGGGATGGAAAGGGATCTCTCCCCCAAAGATGTGACTGGGGGCAGGTCCCCTGAGTTACAGTGCCTGCGTGGGAGCTGGGAGAAGATTGGCTCCATGACATGGGGTGACACCTGCCCAGACCCACGATGACGACCAGAAAAGCTGGAGAAGACAGCAGATTGAGGGCAAGTGTGCCCAAGTGTAGGAGGAGTTGGAAAGGGAGCTGAGAGAAGATTGGCGCGGGGGATTTAAACCCAGACACGGCAGCCATTGAGGAAAAAACCATGTGCAGCCCTGAGAGAGAACCACGCGGCCTGGACAGAGTGGGGACTCCCGTGGCCCTGGGAGAGAGGACCACGTGCCTTTGCCAGAGTGGGGACACCCCCACAGCTTTAGAAGGGGGAACCACCACCTGGTTTTAGCAGAGATCCTGGCGACTCAGCCGAGGGTGCCGGGAACCCAGGGAGGTCTCCCAGTTGAGATGGAGTACTAACTGGGAAGAACCAGAGGACTGCCTGAGCCATGGACTTCTATTTCCTTTCCTGAGATATGGTACTCTGGACTGGGCAAAGGGGGAAGGAAGGAAGGACTGTGTGTGTTTGTGGGTGTTTTAAGGGACTTTGGGATTTTGGTGAAGATATTAGGTCACTACTTTAAGTTTGTATAGCATTAAATAAACATTTCCTTTCCTTTTCATGAATCTCTGGCATTGAGAGACGTCTTTCCTCGGGCGGCAGACATAACGGACCCAGGGCCTTCTTTCAGTAATAGTATATTGTCCCAGGCCCCCCCCACTCCCCGCTTGTTTGCTCTGTAACAATTAGACATTGTATAACTTACGAAGTGATCACCCCAATAAATCTAGTACTCTTCTGACAGCCTATTCCTGTGACTATTTGGTAATTTCAAATTTGTACTTCTTAATCTCGTTGTCTTTTTTACCCATCCACCCAATCTCCTCCCTGTAGCAACCTTCAAAATATTCTCTGTATCTGTGAGTCCGTTTCTGTTCTGTTTGTTTGTTCATTTTGTTTTTCAGATTGCACGCATAGGTAAAGTCATATGGCATTTTTTCCTCTGTCTGATTTACTTCACTCAGCACAATACCCTCTAGGTCCACCCATGTTTTTACAGATGGCAAGATTTCATTCTTTTTTTTATGGCTGAGTCATGTCCCATTGCTTATGTGCAATGCTTCTTTATTCATTCGTCTATTAATGGACACTTGAGTTTTTCTCCATATGTTGGCTGTGTAAATAACGTTGCAATGAACATATGGATGTCTATATATTCTTCATTTCTGGCTGTTTTTAATATGTTTTCTTAATCTCTGTTTTTATGTTTACTCTCTGTTGAAGTTCTCACTAATTTCAGCTATTCTCTCCCTAATTTCATTGTGCATCCTTACAAGCAGTTTTTTGAACTCTGCATCTGGTAGATTTCTTGTTTCCATTTGTAGTTTGGAGTTTTGTTCTATTTTTCATGTGAGACATTTCTTTGTCTACTCATTTAGGCTGCCTCCCTGTTTCTTTCCATGTATCAGGTAGGCTTGATAGTATGGCCTAATATAGTAGGTGTCCTGTAGTATCCAGTGGCACATCTTCCCAATTACCCGAGAAGAACACTCCAGGTGCCCCTCCTATGTGAGCTGTGAAATATTCTCTTCCCAAACAAACCTATATCAGGGGTTTTTAACATTCATTGGTGATTCTTGCCTGAATCAGTTTTTATTTTGATGGCTGTAAATGGTGGTTTTCCAACTCAGTATTTCTCATTACATTTATTAGTTCCTATTCTATTATATATAAGAGGCTTCCTGTTTATTATTATTTTTATTAGTATGAACTCATGGATTCTTTTTTATTCCATAATTTATAATCCAGTGCTATGATTATTCATTTTGGTACTCAAAAAATTCTTTTAGGTTTGACTATAGAGAGCCACTTCAAATTGGCTCTTGTAACCTTTGTGATTTCTCTGTATTTTTTTGAGCACTTCCTTACATTTTAGCACAAGAGGTTCCAGAATCATCTTGTACTTTCCCACTTCATCCTTGGAATAGATGATTTCTCTAAGATTCCTTACAGACTTTTAATGGTAAGTAGTATTTAGAAAACAAGTTTGAGCTCTAGATGTGCTATTTTGGTGTTATTGTTTCTAACCTCTTTTATCTAACAGAGTCAGGAAGAACAGAAGCTTTTCTTTTTTTCTTATTCTCTTTGAATGATTAATTCATACTGATAACTCCAATTCTAATGCAACATAGCAGAGTGTTTGTCTTCTTGAATTTCTTTCAGCATTGTTTTGGAGTTTTCAGTGTACAAGTCTTATACCCCCTTGGTTAAATTTATTCACAATTATTTTATTTTTGATGGTATTGTAAATGAAATTGCTTTCTTAATTTTGATTATTTATTGCTAGTGTAAAGTAAAACAACTTACTTTTGTGTGTTGTTTGTTTTTTGAGCATGCATCCTGCTCTGGGTTTGAGTGGGGCTTTCTAGTCTACCTGTTTGTTATGTGTGGAAGCCCTTACTCACCAAAGATCCCCCGTCCCCAACCTTTTGGTCTATCTATTGTTTGTCCAAACTGTGCTCTTTTGTAACTGTGCTCTTATGTGGCAATGATAGCAAAACACCCCAGTTCATTGCCTTTCTGTGTTTTGAGAAACATCCTCTATATAGCAGCTTTTATGTCCTGAGAGAGGTCAAATTTAGGCAAAAAAAAAAAAAAAAGGTGAGTACCTTGTGTTAGTCCCTCCAGCAACAACACCCTGACAGTGAAAATAGGCAAACATGTTTAAGTCATCTTTTTCTTGATTCAACATTTGCATGGATGCTGTAAGTCCTGACCATTTTTCAGAGTTCTGAGAAAGTTGATGCTTGCAGGTTTTACTCATTATTTTTTGGTGTTTCTGAAGGAAAACAAAAACCCAAAACCTCACACAGGTCTTTAGAGTTCCCTACTCTGTATTTTTTGCCAAGTAGTCAACTTATTTTTGGTAAAAGTGACTAGGAGATTCTATGGGACTAGCATAATCTTTTATGCTATAGATGATGCTTAAACACTATGGATTACTATATGCCTCTCTCCTCAAAAGTCTTCATTTGATACCTCACACCATATATAAAGTTAAACTCTAAAGAATCATAGACCTACATGTAAGAAGCAGAACAATAAAGCTCCTAGAACAAATCATGGAAAGACATTTTAGTAATCTTGGACTTGTCAAAGGATTTCTTAAATGTGACATAAAACTCATAAAACATTTAAAAATAGTAAGTATTGAACTTTATTTGTTTAAATTAGGTCATAGACAAAAGATAATATATGCTGCTTACAAAGAAATTTCTTAAGTATAGAGACATAGAAAAGTTAGAAATAAAAAGATGGAAAAGATATACCACATAAACACTAACCAGAAAATAGCCCATGTTGCTGTATTAATGAAGAAGAAAGTAAATGCTAGGGGAAGAATCATAACTAGAGATGTAGGGGGATACTCATAACAATTAAGGTGTAAGTTCCCTACAAGGATATTAATATTCTGAACCTATATGCACCAAGTTCTGTAATAGCTACAAAATGCATAAAGCAAACATTGACAGCACTAAAAGGACAAATAAATCTAATATCATCGTGGGAGACTTAGACATACCTCCCAAGAAATGAAAAACAAGGAGACAAAAGACTGGTAACACTAATAAGTGTATAGAGGGTAATCAACATAATTTAAAATTTTACTTATTAAATATTCATAGAGCACTTTATTCAATAACAAGAGGATACACAATCTTTTCATATGTACATGGAGCAGTTACCAAAATTGACCATGTGCTAAGTTTTAAAGCAATCTATCAAGTTTAAGAGAAATGAAATCATTCAGAGCATGTTGTATGGCTATAGCAGAATTAAGAAAGAAATCAATTACACAAAGATTACTGAAAAATCCACAACTGTGTAAAAACATACTTCAAAATAATCAATGGGTCATGAAGTCACAAACATTTTGAACTATATTAAAATGAAAAAAACTCCCGAAGTATCAAAATCTGTAGGATGCAGCTAAACAAGTGTTGTTTTGTATATTGTTTTGTTTATTTGATTGTTGTAGAATGTTTCTGTGCCAAGGGTCAACCTGAGATGTAAGATTTAAGGTCTTTGAAGGTCTTTCCTGAACCTGCAACTTTTCCTGGGTAGGCATAGTCACTTTTTCAAATATACTCCCATTATGCAGTTGCTTTCACATGTTTTAATCTTTAATTTTGACTCCCCCCCCAAAAAAAAGGAAAATAGAGGGGGAAAATGGATGCTATCTATTCAAACACCTAAAAGTCACTTTATTTGGAGGAAGATATAATAACAATGGCTGCCTTCCTCTTCGCATCTCACATCAGAGGCAGCATTGGTAATCAGAACATAAATTCCTGATATTGGAGAAGAGGATCTTTTTTGCCCACCCTGGCTCCTGCTAGCCGCATACCAGCTGCTCAGGAAAACATGCACAGCTTCCTGCCATAGAGCTGAGGGTAGGGGATGAGTAGCTGCTGTTGTGCTAAGAGATGAAAGGGACCAAAATTAATCACAAGTTACTGTCCATGACTTCCCCTGGAAGTTGGAAGCCTTCAACAGACTCTAGAGTTTCAAAGCTGCTGTATCAGACGGATTCTACCATTGTGATTTTTTCTAGGTAGGGAGACAGATTCCTGGTGATTCACACCCCACCACCCTCCCAATTTCTCAGGAGGAAATATTAGGTTAGGAGTGAAAGCCTCTGAGTATATAAAGCCAAAAATATGCACACATAAAATTTGAAGATAGAGATCTAATAACTGGAGGTGCCCAAGGATCAGGTGTCAATAGGAGGCATAATGACTTGGCCCAAGTGAGATTGTGGGTGAGTTGGTGGAGTCAGAACCCAAGGGCAATGGGGCTGTGAAATAAAAGTGACCTCCTGAGAACTCATGAAGATAATCACTTCTGTAGTCTCATCTGCAATTCTCCGGGTTTCCTCTAGTCACTGGTTCCATTTCTGGTCTGAAGCTGATGACTGACTTTGTCATACATGAGGTGAGGTTCTAGGAATAGGGGAGAGTAGGCCTAGATATTAGATCTACTCCCAGGCCCAAGGTAATGGAACTAACTTGTGATGTTGGAGTAGCAGGCTCTTTGTCTGCAGTCTTTGAACAGATTGTGAACACATTGTGGAGGAGACCTGTGGCCAATATTTGTGCTGGTAGGAAACAAAGAGATGGTTCTCATAGTACTTTCTAAGTCTCATTTGGATTCAAGAACCTGAGTCCTCAAAGGAAAACCTTGCTTTGGTCACTAATCTTAAATCTCTCTTGCCTGGCTTCCTTCCTTCCTACTCTCCTGTTTGCCTTTCCTTCTGTGCTGTGTTCTAGGTACACAGCGATGAAAGGACATGTCCAATGCGCTAAGGAATTCAAAATTTGTTAGAGGTGTTTCATAGATAAAGATGTTTCTGATGAATAAGATATGTTTTGTAATATTTAGAACATTGTGACTTAGGGGAGATGGATTGTGTAGACAAAGAATTTCTATTCTAGCTGACTCTAAGAAGTTCCAGGTGAGAGGGACAGCAAAAGTACTCAGCAGCACAAAGTAGGGGAATGTGTGGGGCAGGCTCAAGAAAACTTCCTTTGGAAGGAGGCATGGAGAAGAGTCTTTTAGGACAAAATTGAAATTGGACCAGGATTTTTTCTAGGCAACTGTTTCCAAAGGCCATTCCCTAACTCCTTGACTTTCCTCTGTATCTCCAACCAAAACACTGTCCCCACCCCTGCCACTGTTCCTTTTCTCAAAGCCTCCATGAGCTCCTGAAGGCAGTTCTCCATTCAGCTTCTGATCCTATTTTATCTCTGGCTCTGTTCTTGCTTTTACCTGTTATTTTGTCATTAGGTCTACGGTACACCACTGTGCCCTCATTGTTTTTGGTGACACTTTTTCCATTTCCTCTAGGAATATGGCATTCCTTGGAAAAGTATTTTTTTTAAATAGCATGCAATTTACAGGAGGCAATCATTCATTGCAGGAAACATTTCCATCAGACTGTCTATACCTGCTTTGATGCCAGCTTCCCTAGACTTCCCTCTTAAGAGGGGGGAGTCAGTTTAGTTGAGTCACTCTGTGTTCTCTAATGGGTAATCTGGTGCCCAGAGAAAATAGGAATTTTTGTTGCAGAATTTATAATGAGGAGAGAGATAGAGATAGAGATATAAATATAGAGAGATTGAGGTATGAGCTGCTAAAAATTTGTTTCTTGTTTTTAGCTATATTTTTGTAAATACTATGCATATACTCTATATGTTTATACTCATATATACATAGTAAAAACTCTCCTATTTAAAAAAATAGAGATTCCCTGTCCCATTCCACTTCTGAATCCTACTTAGAAAAACCACTTTAACACTTTATAGTTGTTTCTTTAGCATTTATCTCCATATAGACAAACAACATGCTTATAGCATTATTTCTTGTTTTATATCTATTTTTAATCATTTATATAGGTTGCCCAGTGACTTTCTTATATGAAAGATATTTGACTTGCCTACATATAAGCCTTCTGCCCTCCCCAGCATATACACTCAGACCATGCAGACGCCCCTTTTCCTGATGTTTGACTTTGAAGATACATATTTATGTTTATATTATTATAATTATGATGCCTGAGGTAAATAATGACATATGATCACATTTCTTTTCTTATACAACATTTTTTTTTCTCCTCTGGAGCAAGTGATTATCTATTTTTTTTGTTTGCCTAGTTTTTATGTGCCTTACTTTATACTAGAAATATAAATTCTTTCACGACAAGTTTCTTTTTTTTCCTTTGAGACTTTCCTTTGTGTGTCCTTTATCCCTTTGATTCAATCTGGATTCACAATAGCCTAGGACTCTTCACAGTTGTCAGCCTTCCCTATTGTTCAAGAAATCCCCTCACTCTCATAGCCTGTACTGTCTCCTGTATTATATCAGTTTGGTTGAGCTCTTTTGTTGGAGCCTGTGTTTCCCTGTTTTTGATTTATTTCCTTATCTTGGTGGTACTTATCTTCTAGTAGCTTCCTGTGACAGGGTTAGTGGGAGGTAAACCTTTTGAGTTCTTTTAAGATATTAAGTAACTTTTTCTACTCTTGAAATTTTAGACATATTTCGATGTAAAATTCTTAATGGGAGTAATTAGACAGGAAATGTCTCCCTAAACAAATCCTATGCCCACACATAGAACCTCTAATCACTTTTTAGTGCCTCATTCTTAAATCAAAATGAATTATAAGATATGGATATAGGGTTTGTAAGCTAGCAGTGGCAGGCATACATAATAGGTTAAGTTTACTGGGGTTTCATTTTGTTCAATATGTAGCCTTTCATTTAATCCTCTGTCCCATTTAGCATAGTACCCTTGCCCCAGCTGTGCTTAGATTCACCAGAATTTTCTAGGTTTATCTTCACCAGGGAATAAACCTCCATATTCTGCTAAGGAAAGTGGTGCCTGGATGAATAGGTTGGGAAAGAAGATCCAGTAGACTAGCTGTTCTTTATAAAGATTTTCCACAAAAATCCTTAAAAAAGCACATTTATCTCTATTTAGAGAAGTATATGATACCTTTAATTCTTGAAACTATTTGGGTTTTACCATAAAAATTATCTTGACTTTTGTTTTCAATTTGAAGTTATTAGTTTTATTCTATCTGTTTAGTTAATAGTCATCCATCTGCTTTTGAAAAGTGGTTGCCACTTTTCTGCTATTGGTTTCTCTTTTGCTTTCTATTTTATGATGTTATTTTACTAACATTTTAGCAGGACTTTAGGAGGCAACTGTGGTAAAAGCAGGCATTTAATTTGATATATTTAATCAGAAAACTCAATGAAAATATATACATATAATCTCTATTTCTCCTTACCTCTATTAGGTGAAGTTAAAGTTTACATTAGCCTGACTCGGGAATGGCTAGCTTCAACCACACTGGTGTTAACCATGTAGTCTTCTATCTGCTGGGCATTCCAGGCCGGGAGGACCTACACATGTGGATTTCCATCCCGTTATTTATTTCTTATGTCTTTGCCCTCCTTGGAAATGGTCTTATCATCTTCATTATCCTCATCAGGAGCTGCCTCCATGAACCAATGTATCTTTTCCTCTGTATGCTGGCTGGAGTTGACATTGTCTTTGCCACGACAACAGAACCCAAGGCATTGGCCATTTTTTGGTGCAATAGTAGGGCAATCTCTCTTAATAGCTGTATTGCCCAGCTCTACTTTCAGCATTCCTCCTTCATATCTGAGTCAGGCATCTTGCTGATCATGGCATTTGATCGCTACATTGCAATATGTTACCCATTGAGGTACACCATGATACTCACCCACTCTCTGATAGGGAAAATTGGTGTGGTTGTTTTGTTGAGAGCACATGGCACAATTTTCCCCATGATATTTCTTCTAAAGAGGCTGACTTTTTGCAGGAATAACATCCTCCCACATACATTCTGTGAACACATCGGCTTGGCCAAGTATTCCTGTGATGACATTCGAGTCAACATCTGGTATGGATTTTTTGTCTTAACGTCAACAGTGATCCTAGATATTGTCCTAATTTTTGTTTCCTATGTTCTGATTCTTTGTGCCATTTTCCATATCCCTTCCCAAGATGCTCGCTACAAAGCTCTCAACACATGTGGCTCTCATGTCTGTGTCATCATCCTCTTTTATGGTCCTGGGATCTTCTCAGTTCTCACTCAGCGGTTTGGACGCCATGTCCCACTACATATCCACATCCTGCTGGCCAATGTCAGCATGCTTGCTCCTCCTATGCTGAATCCTATCATTTATGGGGTCAAGACAAAACAGATACGAGACCAAGTAGTTCATATGTTGTTTCCAAAGCAGAAATGACTTTGGTAAGGGCAGAGACTGGTGTCCCAGGAATTTTGGCCCTCCATGAGTGTGCTTTGGCAGCAGTGAACAGGAGCACTACAACTGAGTCACTAGGAAAAATGACTCAAGGAGTTAGGGGCCTCTGGAACAAACTACCTGGGGCTGTGAGACTTGCTTCTCCGATCAATCTGAAAGCAGTGCCTGTGTGTTGACTGAGATTCTTGTAGCTCATTATTTGGGAAATAGGCAGGTTGCTCTCTAGTAGTCATGTCTAACTCTGTAATATTCAACTCAACCTTGAGAATAGTCAATGTAACATTAAAAGTATCATATAGATAATAGTAAGTTTTCTGTCTTGAGCTATGTCAAACCCTGAGACACCTTACCACATCCATAAACATCCATGTAAAATCTTCATTCCTTCATATATTTTCTCAATCTATCATGGGTGTTAAGAGGACATTAAGGGAGCTGTGTTCATAAGTTTTGACTTTTTTGGGAGTAGTTTCTCAAAGGCCATCCCCCTTAACATGGTACAGAATAAATTCAGACCTCCCAGCAACAATTTCCATACCACTTTCACGCAATCTGTGCTTCAGTCTCAAGGGAATGGATATCTCTAATTTCTCCATGTTCAGGCATGTTGTTAAGTACATTTTCCCTAAGGGATCCATTTGTGTAGAATGACCTCGCCTCCCCTTGACTTTTTAAAGAATTCCCATTATACATCTTACAATGCCCATCTTGGTGTCACCAACTCAGTAAAGTCATTATTAACCACCTCCTCTCTAGATGAAGTACTACTTCTGTGAGGTAATACTATATTGTTGATACTTCTTTTGAAAACATTTACATCTTTTTATGTAAGAATTCCATAGAAAAATGATAAAAAGGAAATTAAAATTGCACATGATACACCACCCAGAAAAATTTACTGTTCCATTTTTGCAGGACAATACATTTAGGAATCTATAATAATTTTAATGGCTATATTATACATCTTTTAATTACTTACAAAGAAAGTATCATTTAAAAATTCTTTTTTTACACTAGTTGAGGTAGTGTTCCTCCTTTTATTTTTTAATACTTATGTTTCATTAACAATATAAATGCTATTCTAGGGACAATTTTATACATAAGATTTGTCTATTTTTTTTGTGTGTGTATTAAGCTTTGCATGATTTTTAGCCTCAAGAAGAATTACTGGGTCAGGGGTGTGAAGATTTTAGGCTCTTTGATACATTGGAAAATTGTTTCTAGGGAAATTGTTATTAATTCTCACACTTGTTAGAATTACATGAAAGTTCCAAAACTTATTGCACCCTTATCAGCATTTTGTAAATAGTTTATTTTAAAACATTTGCCATGTGATTAGGTAAAATAATTTTCTCATTGTCTTTTAATTTTAATTTATTTAGTTAATGGAAACATTGAACACATTTTTATTGTGTTTACTGGATATTGTATTGCTTTGCAGATTAGTAGTAACAATTATTTATTGAATCTGTGCAAATCTTATTTCATATCTGATTTTATTTAATCTTTGCATTAGACTTGTTATTGCTTCTATTATTTCCACTTTACAAACAGGTAATTTGAGTCTCAGAGAGAATACCTAACTTCCCCACAGTATTAATATTTATTGAAAGTGCTTCTTCAGGTTATAATTTCTGTAATTTTCTCTGGTTTGTTTGGTTGGCTTTTGTTTTACTTAAATGGATATATAAAATGTTTTCCAGTTCATCATTCTTTGAAGGTTTTATTGTTTTAGTGTTAGACTATTTTTTATATCTAAGATTTGACTATTCTTAGATTTTTCTTCTAGCTTTTTTATGGTATACTTTATAATATTTAATTTTTTCCCAACAATATTATTAAACAAAACTAGAATAAAAATGACAAACTTCAATGACCATTACTAGAAAACTGAGGCATAATTGTTAAATTTTAGTATGTTGTTAGTCTTTTATATGCCTATATCTTTCTATACTTGTGATATAGTTAGCTTTTTCTGTGACATTATATAATACGATATTTGTTATACAATAAAGTGGTACAGATTTCCTAATATGCAGTATAAGTTAACTACTAGATAGAATAAGTTTATTAGTTGTACTTTTCAAAGCTTCTATATACATACCAAAAATTATTCAGCAATTCTTGGGAAAAGTGTTAAATATCTCACAGCGATTATCATTTACCAGTTTCTTATAATTCCTATATTTTTTCTCTGGAACAGCTGGTTTCCTAAACATGACAATTTTGATATTGTTTGTGTACTGTTTAGTGGATTATGAATATAGCTGCAGAAGTTTTCTGTTGGTTAGTATTTTTCTTAATTTTTTAATTTAGTTATTTTTGGAGAGGGAAGGGAAGGAAAAAGAGAGAGAGAGAGAAACATCAATGTGCAGTTGCTGGGGGCCGTGGCCTGCAACCCAGGCATGTGCCCTGACTGGGAATGGAACCTGCGATGCTTTGGTTTGCAGCCCGCGCTCAATCCACTGAGCTACGCCAGCAAGGGCTTGGTTAGTATTTTCTTAGTAAGCCATTTTGTATCCTTTACTTCCAAGTATTTCATGCCCATATGGTTCAGGTTAATGTCCTTTAAGTGATAAGTGTAGTCCAGTTGTATTTCTTATGAATTAAAGATGTTCTTTCTCTAAGTTCTATCTTTATCCTACAAGTCATTTAACCTCTCTTTGTTATTTCATAGTTCTGTTTTTTTTGTGTGTCACATTGGGATATATTTTTTCTAATCTATCTTTAAGTCTAATGATCTCTTTAGGTCTATCTAAATCTTATTTAATCAATCCATTGAGTTTTAATTGTTTTATTTCAAGTATTGCATTTAAAAAAATTAGATATTGTTTTTTAGAGCAGTTTTATATTTACAGAAAAATTGAGTGGAAAGTGCAGAGAGTTACCATGTACATCCTCCCCCCTCCTTTCCTCACCTAGAGAGTTTCCCCGATTATTAGCATTTTGAACTGGCATGGCATATTTGTCACAATTAATGAATTAATGATTCATTTTTACTAATAAAAGTGCATGGTTTACATTAGGGTATACTCTGTTGTAAAATTCTATGGGTTTTGAAAAATATATGGCATGTATCTAACATTATAGTATCATATGGGGTATTTTCAAGGCCCTAAAAATCCCTTGTGTACCTTATATTCCTTCCTTCCTTGTTCTCCTCAAACTCTTAGAAATCACTGTTTTTTTACCATCTCCTTAGTGCTGTGTTTTTCTGAATGTGATAAGATTGGAATCATACAGTATGTAAGCTTTACAGACTGCCTTCTTTCACCTAGTTAATATCCATGTAAGATTTCTACATATCTTTTTTTATGTGACTTGATAACCCACTTATTTATATTGCTGAATAATATTCCATTGTGTGGATGTTTCAGAGTTTTTTAATACATTCACTTGTTCAAGATATTTTGGTTGCTTGCAAGGTTTGGCAATTATGCATAAAGCTTCTATAAACATCCATGTCCAGGTTTTCATGTAGACATAAGTTTTTAGCTCCTTTGGGTAAATATTAAGGTGCATGATTGTGGGATCATATGATAAAAGTATGTTAACCTTTGAATACAACTGCCACACTGTTTTCCAAAGTGCCTTTGTCATTTTGCATTCCTGTCAGCAAAAATAAGAATCCTGTTGATCCACATCCTTACCAGGATTTGGTTTTGTCAGTGTATTGGATTTTAGCCAACCTAATAGGTATGTAGTGGCATCTCACTGTTGTTTTGATTTGCAATTCCTTAACTAAGTACAATTACACTGAATATACTTTTTATATGCTCATGTGCTATCTCAATGGGTTCTCCTTATTAGGACAGCTATTGGTTAATTTCTCAGCTATACAGATAGTACAAATTTTAGCCCTAAATCATATTTTGCAGGTCCATGGTTATGAATGCTCAGGGTAATCTTTCTTATTGGTGTCCAGAGAACAAATGAAGAGATGATTCTTTGACAGAAGAAACAGTTTCTTCAACAAGAAAGAAGCAGATATGGGTGGGAGCAGATACAGATATGTTTTAAATTTAGTGTCTTGAATTTGTGTGGGTTTCTTACAGATTGGTTCTGATTAAGTAGGCAAGCTCTTATGCCAGAGTCACCAGGTAGGTTCTGGAGTCAAGGCTGGAAGTGTGTATAGGGTGCACATATTGAGTACTAATTAGGTGGAGTGGGCTGTCTTGAGCAAATGTGTAAGTTTGCTAGGCTCTGTTGTTAGTAAGAGATGGTAATCATTTTAGTGGCACCATTCTGTTCTCCAGGTGGCTACCCAAATATGGGTATTGATTTCGTTCATAGTTATGTTGGGATAGACCAGTTAAAATGAAGGAAAAGATTTAAAGGATTTGAACATACTTAAAAGAAATTTATTATAATAAAGGGCATGTAATCTACATTTAATTAAGAATCACACAGAGTGGATTGGTAGTTTAGAAAGAAAATTGTAGTGTTAATGGATGAGCAATTTTTGTGAAGTTAAAAAGTAGGTATAATTAACACATACTTGGGCAAGTAATTGTGTCTAGAGAGTAGGATGTTTGAATCTGTGACTTTGGAAGTGGAGAAAGGATGTGATTGTGGGAGTATATAACTAAAATAAGATAAAGGGAAATGCAATTGAGATAGGGGGAGAATTCAATCAACAACACAGCATGAAGATGAAACTAAAAAAAACCCCAAAAGAACACAGCATGAAGAATCAGTTTTCCACATGGACTTTGAAGTCCTAGTGACACTAGTGCCAGCCTTGCATGCATTTGCTTGTGAGGAACTCTAGGAGGCCTTGACACAGTGAGGAGCAGGAAAAGGTAGATAATGATTCTCAAGGAGGCATTAGCTTCTACAAGAAAGTGAATGAGCATTAGTCTGAAATAAGACCTGGTAAATATTATGAAACAAGAATGCCCCCAAATGGGTTTATGTCTTTAAAATATCAAGGGCTTCCACAAGTTCTAAATATATGGCACCAGAATTTTAATGGACAAAAA